AGTCTGTATTTCTCATTTTTTTTATTCTTTTGCGTAAAACTAAAATTCATGCCAATATTTTTCCATGATTTATAATAATTGGAGTAATGCAAATGCATATTTTCTAAAAAAAGTCATTTTTAGTGAAATTTTGCCGGGAATGGGGCTTTAAGTTGTCGCACAGGCCAGTATTGAGTAAATGATCTTTAAAATATGGGAGCTCAAAAAATTGCCAAAAAATCCGAAATTGTTTTTCACTACAAATCAACAGTTTAATGTCTTGTTAATCATGTCCCAAAGTATTAGTTCTGAAAGTGGTCAACAAATCGTTTATTTAATGTTATTTTGATAGTTAATTCTATTAAACAATGTATGCACAATTAACTTTGAAAGGCAATTACTCAAAATCATGTTTATCTTGACTCTATGAGTGCCGTACTTTCATTTTCCAATAACTTAGGCTTGAAATGTCCAATTTCAATGAATGACCCCTCATTTTAAAGATCAAATACTCGGGTATCTGAAAATACCAAATCTTAACAAATTTTTGCTACAACTTAGCCATTTTGCCACAACACGCCTCATATAACAATCACAACGAACACACAACACAAAACATGTTGGTCAGAGACTCGGTCCAGGGCAAGAGCACAAGCTAGGCTAGGCCTCCTCTCTAGTCTAGGCTTGCTACCACTCACTAGAAGAACTACACTAGATCGAGGCCTAGCCCTAACTAAGCAGCTAGGCCTAGCTAGCTAGGGAGTGTGATGCCTAGGCTGGCCCTAGAGTCAGGCAACAATCAAGAGATAATTTGCACTCAATTAAGTACAGATGAACACATAAGCCTACTTTGTACCTTCGTTTGTCGCAGCCAATTTGTTACTTTCTTTTTTTCTCCAATTAATTCTGCAAAGAGCAAAGATTCAGCGATGACATAAAAAGATAAAATTAAAAGATCATTCATTGATCAATTGTGTTGTGGCTGGTAGTTACGTTACATTTCGCGTTCCACGTTGATCGCGTCAACGTTAAGTTAACGCAAAAATATTTATGTGATAATACAGTTAACAATATATTTATATATTCAAATTATACAGGGGGAGGGCGAAGCAAAGGAGGAACAACGTTCCTATACATGGTTTATCCATTGTTGGGTGGCTTTGGACAGGAGTGGCTTTGGACAGGGGTGGCTTTATTCCGATTTCCATGGGCCTAGTGTTGTTACATCATTGATATTTTTCGCCCAGTGGGTATTTTCCTCATGGTATTTGCCATTCTCTCTTATATTTGATGTATTCAAAATTGAACGTCAGCAATATTGTATTGTCTAAGTCTAAGAGTGCCACAGTATATTCAATTTCAGCTCCAACCTGAGGTGGGCAAGGCCCTTTTGTGCTCTTGGAAAATGTTAATTCCTCCGCTATAGGCTGTCTCTTATACACATCTAGATGTGTATAAGAGACAGAGCTACGGGGTTGGAGAGGTCTCGAAACATTGCACAAAAGTATTAGTGAGTCATACCCGATGCCATGTCGTCAATTTATGAGAAGTTCGTCAAAAAGTGGAAAACATTATTAAGGATCTTCTCTATAAATTGCTATTATTTTAATCAATCTTAAGGCTACGCAGTAAGAATAATTAAATAATATCGAATTTTATTCATGTATTTTTAAGCTAAATAAAGTGACCGTATTTGATCATAAAAAGAAAATTAGTAAACAAAACCCAAAAGCTGGTACTATTAAATAGATAGTTCCTGTAGTTAAATTTAGATATGGCTTATAAAAATAGTAGTCAAAAGAATGCATAAAATAAAAAAATCTTAGATATTACATTTACATAATTTAATATTCTTGCGCTAAAAATCAGCATGTTATCTTTACATTAAATATTCTCGTTTTTCGATTAAAATCTATCAAGTTCTTATGGAGCATTGACTATAATATTATTATTTATATTACTTTAAAGCAGTCATACTACATTAAAGCTCAAGGCAATAAGGAAATTAAACAATCAATTATATTCCCGCCATTATTACCTCAAATGAATATAATCCCAGTGAACCTTCTTTTGTTTTAATAAACTATCCCACTTTACACTACAATGCATGATACCCAAGCATTATCATTACACATATACAATTACATACGATTATACGAATAAACTTTATTTGTATTTTAGAAGAAAACACAAAAGCATCTTTAGTTGGCAAAAACAGAATACAAAAACCATTAAAATCCGAACAGAAAGAACATAAAAATTTTATTAAAATTGGTTAAAAATCTCGAATCTAAAATCGAACAGCGTGGCGTGTAAAATAAATTAAATATTTCATATAATTATTTCTTCGGTTTTACTTAAGTTAAGCTTGAGAAGGTTTGTTCACATCATTTTACAAACATAAATATATTTTCTATCCTGGTCCGGGATTCATCAATCTCAGCTAAGCCAAATGTCTTAAGTCAAAAAAGTTAAGATGTCCGTAAGCAAATATCCTAAGCTGATTTATCAAACCATCTTAGCAAATCTTAGCTTAAAACTCGTCTTAGTGGCACATGCGTACCGCCGACTTTTTATTAAGCAAATTTTCAAGGAAAGCAATATTGATGAATCTTCATGACTTTAAGCAAAACCATGGACTTACGACGATTTCTAGTTTGATAAATCCGGCCCTGTTCATTATCACCAGAAATAAAAGCATTTGAGTTTATTGATTGTCTTCCTACTTTTATCTCGCTATTTTTTTTTTTATTTGATTGTACTTTATTGTATGTGTTGCTGGGCCCTTTTTTTTTTTTATTTGATTGTACTTTATTGTATGTGTTGCTGGGCCCTGGAGGATAACTGACATGCTTTTACACTGATCAGGCTTTCCAGGGTAGGCCAAAAGAAGAAATAAATAGTAAAAAAATATAATTTACATAGGCCTAAATAATATAATTTCTTTCTTAAATGTTATTCCCACAAATGACACAAACACATACATTTTCTGCAAAGACAATTAAAAATGACATCTGAAACCCTTTAATTGAAGGAATTAATACAAAACCCATCAATTTATTTAAATACAAAATGCTCCTATAATTAGAATGGTATAGCCCTATTATGATTACATCATTACCTAGCGCGCGATGGTTTGATTGATGATTAACTGTCATTAATCTCCGTGGTTTGATAATTTATTGTTGTTATTCTTCGAAGCAAGATTTTAGACACAACCATAGTTTAAAGACTAACTTAAACTATATTTAGGATATAATAAAAACGACTGTATTTTGATTCATTCGTAACCGTATTCGTAGGCTGCGCAATGATGTGGGAGGCAGAAGAGGAATCGTGGGACCACGACGTTCAACGGCTAGCTGAGCAGTTAATAGTTGGGAATACTGCAGGTTACACAGGCCTAGCTTGCGGTAAGGATATGTATAATTTGTTGTGTCTAGGCAAAAAGGCAGATGTGGTAACTTTTGTTAAGACAAGCAAATGTATAAATGTTACAGTATTTTTAATGAGATAGCTTCCTCGCTGAATCTCATGAAATAATGTTGTATGTATGTATGTATGTGTGGTGTATATGGGACGGTATTATGTTCATGTAATTTAAGGATGACAGGTAAGCCGCGAGGTATGGAACGCCATACAGGCAATATGCTACAAATAGCAGTTGACTTCGACTTACAAATGAATTACACACCCATGCCAAATTACTTCATTTTGAATTAAAATATTATTTATGAATATTAATTAATTTTGGGTGTTTTGTATTTGATATGTAATATCTGGCAAAGATTGTATTGTGTAAAAAATATGCATTTTTATTGCCTTCTTTTTCATTGCTTATTAATTTATTTGAACTGTACTGTTGATCCACAAATATATTTCTGGAAAAAGAATTCTACTGAGTGAAATCTATATTTCTGTTTTACTCCTCCTTACCAACAGGCTGTTTTATTTCCCTTTTTAAATTCGGAAGTCATTAACGGCAAATGCAATTTTATCTAAACTTCAGGTTCTCAAGAAAGTAGGAGAGCTGATGCCCAGTATAGCACACCAGTCTCTGATGATGGAGGGATTGTAGCCCCATTTTCGCAAATTGATGTGAGGAGCAACTGCACAAGTGATATTACTGGGTCCAGAGACACGCGCAAACGAGCCCGAAAGGCCCAGGTTTGATTTCAAAGTTCACTGAATCAGGGTTGTGTAGTCTAGAGCTATAGAAAACTAAGGGTTGGGTGATATACATTTTAAGGGTGGGTAAATAATAACATCTGGTAAATTCTAAATAATAAGACTAGATTTTAAGGATGGGCAAGAGAGTTAATCAAGATGGGTGGAGGGCCATAAAATATACTTTAGAGTGGGTGGAAAACATCAAGGCCGGATGGCCCTGCCCACCATAACTACATCCCTGCTGAACTTGCTGAATCATATTTTATGTAAAAGTGTACCCATACACATTGGGCTAGTTTTATTCAATTAAAGTTTGAGAAGTTTTGGGCACAGTTCAGCTAGTAGTCAGTAGAATAATTATATCAAAATTAAAATAGACTAATTTTTCTTGTTTATTATTATTGACTGCAGCAGCCTAAGAAGAAAGCAAAACATGCTCCTAAAAGCAGTGAGCAGTTTGTTGGTGAAGTACCTGTACATGGGAAGGAAGTACAAATGCAGATAAATCAGTGCAGGTGCTCGGAGTACGATTCCCTCGTCCAGAAATATGAATTACTAATGAAAAAATACCTGATATTGGAGACACAACATGCGCAGATATGTGCACATGCCGCTGAGCTACAAACTTACAGAGGTAATGCATGAGCAGATCTAGAGGTGGGGTGGATAGAGCAGCTAGCTACCCCACATTTCTCATTATTCAAACTGTGCCCCAGCTTATGTAATCATTACCAGCATCATCATTATCATTTTTTTCATATTAACCCAGAAAAAAATTCTGTACCTGTAATTTGTGTCATTAACAGAAATAATCAGAATGCAGGAAATAACATTTTGTATGAGAGCTCAGCTCGCTAAACTATTGGTAGGAACTGCGCTTTATAACCGCAAGGAAGAGGCGCATTATAAATGCCCGTACCAGTACCAGTAGGCACTGTGTGTGCCTAAAATATAGAGATCCTTTTAGACCAATGGTACTTGGGTCAATCCTATCGCTGCTCTCCTTGACGACTGAAATAAAGTTACACCGAAGAGACAATAACATACCAAAGAGACGCAGGGGTCCCAAGTAGGAAGAAATCCCTTCCAGGATCTTGGTGAATGAGCTTTCTTAACATATTAATTTTGTTTTGTTGCATATGGTGACATCCATCAGCACTGACTTTTGTGAGACAATTAATAATGAACTAGTAGGTTCTTACTTGCTTGCGAAAGTGCGAGAGGCTGTCTGGGAGACCCCCGCGAATGTTATGCGTTATACTGTATATGTACTGTATGATGTATGCAAGCTATGAAATTTCCGGAATTGGATGAAAATAGTGTTTGATACATATATAATTGATGCACTGTACTAGTTGACCTGTTGGACAATAAAATATTTCTTACAATGTATTCTCTACAGAACTCTCAAACATTGTGGACAACCTAACAGAATTCAAAGATTCAATGGTTGCAGCACTGGCGGGAGTCCAAGTAGGAGCAGCCATCAAGCCAACAATTGGGATCAAACCAACAGAAAAGGTTAAATATAATTTAAACACATAAGTATACTAGAGCAGTCACTCCATAGAGGGCATATGTCCACCCTCTGCCTGAATACCAACAATAAGCATGCCATGTATGTTGGGAGAAATTGCAGCATACCCTCAACAAAATAATGTAATCGCCTGTTGCATTCAGGTACATTATTAAATTCGAGGGGCAATTTCATTATTTTCTTTATGCTCAAGGGAAAATAATTGAATTTTTTTACCTTGTTTTTCGACCTTTTCTTTAAAATTAAATGGTGTCTTTCTTTGATTAATATGTACCATTCCACTAAATTTTATGATGATCCATTTTTTAGTTTTTGTATAATCTTGCAAACAGACAGACAGCAGTGAATACATACCTTCTTGGCAGAAGTAATAATAAAATAAATAATATAAATATTGAACTACTGTATATAACCATGTATGATGCATATTTACCATTTGCAATACTGTAGACAGTGGTGGCTCCAGGAATTTTCTGACATTGGGTTCAATAGTTCTGGCAGGGGGCGGGAACCAAGGGGTCAGCTAAAGTCTTGGTTAGGGTCCCGGAATAGAATTCAAGGATAGATCTGTGTTTCCAGACCATGTCCACAATGTTAGGAATTGGCAACAAAATGTTTGGATCAGCAGAGTAATTTTTTTTTGACTGGCGACGGAGGTCCATGCGTGTTTAATGAGGGAATTTTCCCTGACCGCTCGCTGACTGTAAAATGTACTGGTAACCATCTGCATAAAGATCTTGTTGTCATGATGTATTGTCCCCTGAAAATTGCAAAAAAAAAATTCATAAAAAAATACTTTTGAAATTAACTTGCTCATTTTGCAGTAACATACAAACTATCATCTTGAGCATAGAAATTCTAAAACTTAAAAAATATGTACCCTGATTTTGATATTGGATGATAATGATCAAAATCATAAAAACACTTCCAGTCACTGGAAGTGTTCCTATCATTTTTGGCTGTAAAATCATGGGTAAACACTTTTTTTACATATTTTTAATACAATTATTTCTATGTTCAAGTCGATAATTTTTATAATACAGTACTGTACTTCAAAATGAGTTAAGTTAATTTCAAAAAAATATTTTTATGATATTTCTTGCTTTTTTTATGGGAAAACAAATCATTAACTGACATACAGTAGTGAGTCAGTGGCATACTTTACTCTTGTGTAGGTAATAGGTAATCTGTATTTGTGGTAATAGAGAAGGAGTGATGCCAGTAAGTGGTGTGTGCTTACTGGTGGGTGGCATAGAAAAATAAAAACACAATTTGTCGCGGAGAAGAAAAAATTATATGTATTTTTTACATAATGGTAGACTCTAAAATTTATTAAATAAACATATAAAGCCACAAAATTGTCATAGTTTCCACGGATTCTCCCCCTAATTCGCTTCTAAGAGATTTTGAGCAACGTCCGTCCACATGGCCGATGTGCTATTTGAAGAACCCAATGAAATTTTCGTAAAAAAGCAGGGGATGGTTTACTGCCAAATTCACCCACCAGCAGAAGGACCAAATGGAAACAAGTCTTCAGACTTCCATGGGTTATCTTTGGTGCATTTAACAAGGTGGAGCTTAGGCCCTCAACCCCCTTTAATTTTTTTGAAACGGCGGAAAAAGAAAATTTCTTAAAATTCTTGGTCTGAAAGTGCCATTTCTGGCCATCTAAAAATGCCAAATTTGATACCTCAGTCCCAACTACTGTATGGTAGGACGGAGGATGTCTAAACCCTCCATCTGTAAAATGGGCTTTCTGGGCCCTCTATTTCAAATTCCTGGAACTGCTACTGAATCCAATCCATAAATGTTTTCTGAATAGCTACTTTCATTTTGATTGTAGATGGAAAATGGCCGTGGTGGTTTGGTGGAAAATGGAAATGCTCCAGCACATGGATTCTGTAATGATACTGGTCCACCAAATGAAACTGTAAGACTATTTTTTTATGCTTCATAAGATTGTAAGTATTTGTAATATCTATTAATAATGTGTTTTATTTTATGTGTTTTATTTCATCTGTAGGTGGATATTGGCCATGGTGTTTTGGTGGAAAGACAAGTTCTTCAGCTTATTACTCAGTCGAGCACCGGGCCCACGAAGATGGTGCGCAAACTTTTTTCCACCTTATTCAAATCAGAGGAGGTTATTGGAAAGAGCATGAGCGGAAGGAAGAGTAATGCCCACCTTGAGAGAGAAGTTAAAGAGCAGCTAGATCCACAGCGTGTTAGCGCAATATTAGGTAAATTTATGACAGAAAACTATGATTATCATAGGATTAATAACTAATCCAGACTTAGTAAAGATTAAAGGGATAAATCTGTAGCTTAAGATTAGAGCGGTGGGTCTCTGTAGCTTGATGAGAGAGAAATTAAAGAGCAGCTAGATCTGCAGCGTGTTAACGCAATATTAGGTAAATTTATGACTGAAAACTAGGATTACTAGGATTAGCATAATCCTGGCTTAGTAAAGATTAAAAGGATGAATCTGTGGCTTAAGATTAAAGCAGTGGGCTCGTAGCTTGATAAAAGTGAAGTTAAATAGCATGCAGTGCATTAGCGCAATATTAGGTAAAGTTATGACAACAAATTATGATCAATTTCAGGGGGCCTGGTTCAAATCCTGCTCTACTGGTTAAGCATCATAAAGAGACTGGTATTATAAAGCCTCTCACTGTTTATATCAAATAAAGGGTTAGTTATTCAGAAGTAGTTATTAACATGTGATATGGTTTCTAATTTCCCAATTGATTGTTTTCAGATTTCACATTGAACCAGTATCCATTTGCATCAAGATCTTTCTTGCGACAGTCACTGGCCTGCAAAGTCCAACAGATGAACAGCAAATAGTCATCTACAAGTTTCAACTATTGGTTTATACATTAATGTATCATTCTACGATACATTTTATACAGTATTATGGCAATGCATGTTATTTATTTGTGTATTTTCAGTGTTATGTTGGGCTTGTAATGTTGTTTTGGTCATTAAAAACAGTATTAACTGACTAAATACATTTTCTTTGCATTATTTGTATGTTTCAGACTTAGCACATCCTAGTCATAGATTTGTATTGGCTTGACATTCCATGCCATTTAGAGGCTGCTTCCCATCACACATCCCAAAATTGACTTGGATGTACAGTACTGTTATATAAATAATGAATGTTTATGGATGCAATAGAAGTATTCTTTCCATTATTCATTTTACAACACACCTAAAATAGATCCTTGTCATTTGATATTTTATTTTATTTTATCTTCCAATGAAACATTTTCATGAAATGTTGTAAATAACCCATCTTTCATGATAAGAAATCCACCAATCAAACGACACAAATCTATTTTATAGTTAATAATTTACAGATATTTTTTCATAAATACACAATTTGTATTTGTGGGAGAATGTCTTCAGGTCTTTCTAACACCAGCATGGTCTTCTGCACTCCGTACACACTCGCCACCAGCCCATCTCCCATAAATTCAGATAATATTTCTGCATATATTTATTATATAATACTGTACTATTATTTAAAATAGACTTACTACACCAATTGCAAACCCCAATCATATATGCAGTGTTCTCCCTAGCATCATGGGCAAGCGTCATGGTAAGTGTTAAGTCCACCATAGTTGGGACTGACGCAAGGTATTTTTAATAATTACGAGGCATTGAAATGTCCTAAATTGTACTGTACTTCAAAATATAAATAAAAGCAGGGAACAGTTAAATAATTAAACTCTTCCCTGATAAAAGCATCATGGAAGATATTCCAAGCATCATGGCCAACTGTCAAGCATCATGGGGAAAGTCCCAAGCATCATGGTACCATGATGCTTCAAGGGCCTGGGGAGAACACTGTACAGTATATGAATATTGCAAGTCTTGCTCTCAATCACTATGGAATGTGATCTCAACAAATTTTACGGATACTGAATGGTTGAGGTCTGTCGCATCACCCAGAGGAGTTGAACAGTCTTCTAATCACAGGATCCTGGGTTCAATTCCTGTGACAGTTGGACAACTCCCTTAGCCTCATACAGAGACTTAGCACCGTATATCCTGTAATTGGTGAGTTACTTGCTGTTGGATGCGAATGAAATAAAAAGAAGCGTGTTATAGCCACTGTAGAGTATGCTGCATCCAAAAATTTGCAACTGATAGTATTTAATTTCCAATTACAAGTCTAGGCTATTGCAGTACTGTCTTCTTGAATTCAGCTGATCATGGGTTTTACCCAACGCAACAAAATATAGTAAGCTTTAAGGCTCATCACATCATCCTGAAGTAAATTCTCTAAACTTTGGCTCCATGTATCGATATATTGTCCTCTGAAAATGACAAAAATCAAAAACACTTTCTCATTTTACAGTAACATACAAATTATTAACTTGGGCATAGAAATTATTCAATAAAAATAAATGTGTACCCAGACTTTCCATGGATATTAATGATAAAAATAATAAAAACACTTCCTGTTACTGGAAGTGTTTTATCATTTTTTGCTGTAAAATTATGGGTAAACATTTTAAACACGCTAATTTCTATGTTCAAGTTGATAATTTTTGTTAATTTAAAATGAGAAAGTTAATTTCAAAAATGATTTTTACATTTTTGGTATTTTCCATGGGACAATACATCTTTAATTTAATTATCAGCCAATCTATGCAAAAAAGTGTTCTTTTTATGTAATTAATATATATATATATAATGTAATATTTATGCATCTTAATTTTTTTAATCTAATCATACGGCCAAATAAAATGTTGGTGTTGGCCACGTTTTGGGAAAATCCAAGTTATTTTTTTTTTTTAAACAACCAAATACGTGTTTATGCCTAAAAAGTAGAAAATACACAAATAATACAACAATTTTGTATTCGCATCATGTACCATCCAGCAAAATAGGCTAGCCTTGGCCCCCATAGCCTCGCCAAGGCTATTCCAGCCTTCTTTGCTCATAAAAAAATACTGTTAGTTGGGTGTGGCCAACAAATTTCTTTTTTTTTTTTTTGGCCAAATATTGTAATTCAAATATCATTGCACAACCAAACTATTACACATTAACAAACAACTTAAATTTAATCATGAATGCAGCATATCAGTTGGCTAAACTGGTGGTAGCCACTGTGTGTTTGCTGAACCGTGGAGATCCTATCGGATCAACACGGCCCCTTATTAAATTCTATTGCTCTCCTTGCGATGGGGTAAATCATTCCATGGCTTTACCAACATAAATTGTTGATCAGAAATTGATTGTCTGCGGCTCCAGATATTTTCCTGTCCGACAAAAATCCCTGGTGGATAGTTTACATGGCTTGGTATGGCCCAAATTGTGCTTTTAGACCACAATATTTGGGATTCGCAATGTTATTTGGATAGGAAATGACCTCGTCGGCAAATTCCCCCTGCTGGCGGCACCAGTGTTAGAATACATGCATACAATGAGGCTGGGAAAAGTACAAAACTGCTGAAAAGTCCTTTGAAATGCAATGTCTCTTTATTTCCATGTTTTTTGTTACATAACATCAATCAACTAACAGTTTAAAATACAGTCTATGATAAATATAATTGCAACATACAGTACAGGTTTATATAATAATACTTATTGATTGGGTATCTCTAAGGGAGATAAATCCGCCGGCATAAGATATGATTAATTGTATGATGATCACATTTAAGATATAGCAGTTATGTTTATATTTATTTCAAACAGCGAATAATCGCCACTTGCAGGTGACACTACATTCCTTTTTTATTTGCTGATTTTTCTTAAAATACAAATCCTTTTCACCTTTCTTTTTACCTCTATGATTCTAAGTGCTTTTTCAGATAATTATCCCTTGTAATACCTTTAAAATTTTATTGACTCCTTTTATTCATTCTATGGTTTTGTAAACTAGCGCAAAAAACTTAAAATTACATGCAGTGAAAAATAAGAATTGAAAGCTCCAGCAACTAATAAGTGTCGGTACAGTAATAATAATTTAACAAGCTATTTAATGAATGTGCAGAAATTAAATGTATGGAAAAAATATGTAAAAATGTATACTGTATATCTTGAAATGAAATTATACAATATTTACAGTGTTAATACAATGATGTTGTAAAGGACAATATTGTACATGACACTTGTTCCTTTCTGTTTTTATTATATTTTGAGAACTATTGGAAAAAGTGTAAACATTGCATGCAGTGAATAATAATGCACTGGTAGCTCAAATAACTAAATAATATTTAAATTATTACAATCATAAATAATTTAAGCTATTACAAGGATAATTACAATGTGAAAGTTAAATATATGGAATATTATGTAAAAATGTGCATAAAATCAAAATATTTATTTAACAGTGTTATAATTTAATGATGAAGTAAAACACAAAACTTTACATGACAAATTTATGTATGTAATTAATATTGAAACAAATGTATGAATTATACATGAAAAATAATATTTGAGAAATAATATAAATTTAATTACAATGGTCATTATTAGACGTACTGACTTAATTATTTATTTATTTATTTATTTTTTTATTATATTTTGTAAACTGGGAAAATTGTAAAACAATGGCAGCTCATGTTACTTTAAATTGATATAAGTATATAAGATGGTACATATTTTAATAATTATCAAGAAATCAATATTGATTTAACAATGTTCGAAGTAATCTTTGTTGCAATTTGTAAGGAAATTGAAGTTTAACAATTAAAATCGAAAGAAGATAAACATGAATTTTGTAATTTTGTACACCATTTTGCTGAACAAGAAAATAGTTCAGATAAAAACATCACCCAAGGAAATTTTGTCCTCAAACATAATCTATTCATTATTTTAACTTTATAAATACAAAACGTCAAAATTGAAATCATTTCGTTCAATCTTTCGCTATAGCTTCTAATAACGATTTTGTTCCATTGTACTTTATCATATATTTAAAAACATAATCGCATCATAGTGTCTAATTTCGCCTAACATGCTTCTATATCTTTGCATTTAAATAGCATGTGCTCTTCATTTTCAGTAATATTACAATACTCACATAGATTGGTTGCGGATAATATGTTTTAATTTTCAACTCATGTTTTAATGTAACTGTTTTTAAATATTTTAATATTTTGGTTTTTATTATACATTATTTGGCCTATGTTAATACAGTAAGTAATTAATCTTACCGGTATAAAACTTGTGTATTACTGTAAGACTGACTGCATTGAATTATCGTAGCTCATCTATTTAATACTACGAGCTACTTTTGAGATGCAAACATATGAATCGGCTTTCCCATTACAGAAATTTGGATAAACCAGAGCAGCGAAGTTACTTCAAAAAATACATCCTGGGTGCGCAGCGTTTAGCCATATACTCAATGTGTGTGTGCCATGCAAGATTCTGCTGGAGATAAAGTTTGACTGGTCCCCCACTACCTTTATTATGTTATCTGTACTGTGACAATCTCCTCAAACTGAGACATTATTACTTTAGTCACAAGCACATGGAGACTAGCAAGAAATTTTAAATTCGTAACAACTATTAAGGTATGAAATTTAAATTGAACAAAAATGAATTTTAGACATGAAAAATCATATTTACATTTAATTACAATGATGATCAGTAAATGTACCGACTTTCTTCGATCTCCACACTACACTTCATCAAGTAATTTTATTAAAAATTAAAATTAAATTAATTAATTAATTTAATTATTATTAAATTTAATTACTATTGATTGATTAATCAATAGTAATTTGTAAAGTGTCAGTATCCACGGCAGGTACAATGTTCAGTGGCGCTAATGACGGCATTATTCAAAGTGCACATAATAAATTTAACTTATGAAATTGTAAAAGAAAAGCTATTTACATATCTACATTTCTGTGTCAATTACTCAGTATGAGATTGAAAATAGTTAAGCTTTTAACCATTTATTGAAAAGAAAAATGCTTGAAGATAAACACGGATGTCAGTGCATAAGGCATTCCATAATATATATACAGGTATATATATATATGGGCAACAAGTGAAAATGAACGTTTTCCAAAATTTTTCAGTTTCCATTTGCTTTGTTCAAGAAGCTGCTTTATACTAGATGATATGAGAAGGCGTGTTATGGATTTAGGTTTAAGAATGTCAGAAATGTATTTCGGTGCAACACCATTGAGTGCCTTGTAAGAAGCATTATCTTGAATTCATTCACTGATCTTAAGCCAGCTATCTATTTATGTAATACAAGTTGAAAAAATTATGAGTTTTGGCCTGAAAAATTATATTAACATTTAATTACAATGATTAGTAAATGTACGGACTTTGTTCGATCTCCAGACACCACTTTATCAAGTAATTTTATACTACCTGTAAATATTGATGAAAATAGTTTACAGTAAGGCCTAATTCTATGAGGAGAATATTGGTAATTAGTAGATGGGTTTCGCTTGCAACACATGGTAGTTATTTGCACTTGTTATTTAATTGGTGTACAGACTACAATACTACAATAAATACCGGTACATTTAATTGATATTACATTAATTCATCAACAACACAAAATGATCTCCCTCCAAACGTTTTCCATTAGTGTATAAAACTTTGTTTCTCATTAACATCAACATTCTATATACAGGTCCTAATCTCTGGAAAATCATATCATGCAGTCAAAACTACAGAAAAAAAAATCTCTTGAATTCCTAACCTTTTCTCACTCTGATTAATTTCTTCTTTTTGAAATATGGAAGGAGGTATAATACATGTATTAATGTATGCAGAAAAATGCATAATACTACATGAATTGTAATGAAATGAAAATACAATGTTAAATAATAATTATTAAAATTTTTCTTCTTTTCTTGTAAAAGCATTGGTTCTCCAACCTGCGAATTCAATTTTTCTCCCTCCAAAATAAATTATAAAGATTTAAAAATTATAAATTGTAGAATAGTTGGCCTATTAGTACTAAGGGGGAAAATTATGTCAAATATGGTCAATGAAATATCATAGCAAATTTGAATTCAAAACCACATTATATTTTGTTTGGTGCAACTAGGGTTGTTGACATACACGTCAACAGGTTTTAGTAAGTTTCTGTTTGAAATCAGTCGTCGGGGGTAGATCCAGAATTTGCCAAACTAGGGGTGGGTGTACCAATGATCAGAATATAAGTGGGGAGTGCCAGCAGCTGTGGTATAACAAAGGGGCTGAAGGCTCTATTGAAACATGTTGTTTTGTATTCTATTTTCTAACACATGGTATTGGTATGCATTTAAATAAAAAATGTAGTAGCCAAATAGAGGTGTAACGCGCTACACACGTTCTTTAGAAATTCGATAGCGCCATCGCGCACGCATGTAATCGCGAGCGTGCGGAACGGACATATACCGTACGTTTCGTTCTTAAGATGCATTACATCAATAAGAGCTACAGGTATCAGACACATATCGCCTGAACAGTCGTGTAAGTAATTAAATGTATATTGTTAATATATGCAGACAACATGAACGATAAGATATTATATGTATGTACAGTATATAATGTAGGCAATATTAACGGTAAGATATACGCCCATAAAATATAAGTAAACGCCGATAGTAAAGTACGTTATTTTAATACGTATGTAGGTATTATTATAATAATAACGTCACTAGGACTGATCGTATTATTGTGATAAAATGTGATATGGTGATTAGTAGAAGTAATTAACTCGTTCTAATTATAACTTGTTATTTTATTTATAGTTTTCACCGTGCTTAATAAATTGCATGGAATCCAACAGTTGGCCGTGTGATTATTATTGTACGTGTTGACACTCACTGGGCCGGGATCGTATTTATTCCCATCGAACCCAGTACAAGAGGGATGCTGTTGGATATGCCCCTGGACGAGTGTCTCATGTTTCCTAATATTGTTTTATTTGTTACATAGAACCTTCTTTACCTAAATTTACATACTATTTTCTTCAGTCATTGGCTACCAATAATAATTACGGTATTTTTTAAAATTTTGCATTGTTCCAAATGACGATGGGGGAGTGTATTTTGTGAGAGGAGTTTATTCAGGGTGCGAGAATTTATTTGGGAAGTGGATTATATTCACAGGGAACATTGATTTGTAAGGGATTGTGACGGTAACATGAATAGTTGTCTACTACAACTATTTAAATACATACTGTATTATTTTAGGAATGTATTCACTATACAAATGTGGAAAACATAATTATACATGAAGACTTCCAATTTGTTCTATAAAATTACTTAATGTTTAGATTAAAAGTAACTTTGTGTGTAAAGATGACATAATCAGTTACAGAAGTGCAAGTTTTTCATTACCGAGGCTCCAAAGCTACAGAAAGTATGGTCTCTGAATACCAAGCACAAATAGGAGGATTTAAAATTAAACTTAAACATCACATGTGGCTTACAAGTCAAACAACTGATCAAAGGTTAGAGCAGCTTAGCTCAGTTGGCTAAACTGGTGGTAGCCACTGTGTGAACCGTAGATATCCCTTGGTCACCGGTTGAATTACCACTGCTCTCATTTTTGTTTCAGCTGGAGGTCTGAAATATATTAACTTTCAATAGCGCACTGTTTTTTGGATGAGACGTTAAAGTCGTTGGTCCCATGTGCAATATGGCCCATGTGCATGTTAAAGAACACAGTACAGTCTTTGGAAAAGAGTAGGGGGTTGCCTACTGATGTTCCGCCCAATCACCATCAGAAGAAATCTACTTGAAATAAGTCCTCTTCATACTTTGGTGGGTTATCCTTGGTGTTCACACTGAATAAACCCAATCAAGCAATTAAAGGAATAAGAAAAGCAATGTCCAGAATAATAACATATTAAACAAAGTATAAAATCACAGATTTTACTGGCTGTACCAAGTCTCACAAATTTTAAAGAGATAAAAAATATTTTTATTGGATTTCATCAGGGTTAAACTCAGCTGGACAGTATCAGGTATGAAGATATAGGACTGTTCAGACATAACCCTGTTGTTAACCCAGGCATTAGTTTATATTCCTCTTTATCTTGTAATTAGATTAGTAACTAGTATGTGAGCACAGCTAGGCTTGCATATCATTAATGAATGGCTTGCTTTCATCCCATTATTACTTGACCAAGTATGGATTGTCAATTTTTTTTTTTTTAGCTTGTTAATTCATCAACGGCTGTGTGTGGTGAATCTAGGTGAGGGCACAAGTACTACATGGCTGAGCTTGGAGCAGATCAAGACAAACTAAAATTAGTATTTTATTTTTAATTTCTAGCTTGTTTTTAAAATATTTACACATTTCTTTTGCTATAATATCATCAAATAATCCCACTTTGTCAGTCCTATCATCAGTAATACTCTTTATGAAACTTTTTGAGTTACTTCATGGACTGTTATTGTATAGTTTCCTCATTCATCATCTATTCCTACCACTATGTTATCTATTAAGGCCAAGTACAACAGCGTCGTGAGAATATTAAACATTTTCCAACTGTCCCTGATGACAAACCTAGCACGATTACAAATCACGTCGGGCTGCGTCAAATGATGCTGTCCATGTTGGCCTTTAAAGCCATAATTGAAAAATGTTTGTTCATGTGGAAAACCAAAGAAAAACTAGAGTTCTGTCCACACTATCATTATTTTGGTGACAAATATCTGTGATTTGCCCAAATATTAAAGGCTGTGATATAAAAATGAGAAATTTTGTATTGATTGGTTGTTATGCTGATGTAAATTATAGAGATTTTATGTCTTTTTTATAATGTCTTTGTATTTGAACCTACATACTAATACTTTTGTATTTACTGTATGAGGTCCTCTTTGAACCTCTTGTGAAATATTGTTGAATATATAATTATGAAATCATTATGTCCATATAATGGACATAATATGGCATCATCATGTCCATATATTGATGTGATATGTCATCATCATGTCCATATATGGACATGATATGGCATCATGTACATATATGGACATGATATGGCATATGGGTGTGATATGGCATCATCATGTCCATATACGGATGTGATATGGCATTATCACGTCCATATATGAACTTGATACGTCATCATCATGTCCATATACGGACATGATATGGCATTCTGTACATATATGGACATGATATGGCATATGGATGTGATATGGCATCATCATGTAAATATAATGGGAAAATCACACACAAATGTGATGATAGTGTGGAGAATGCTTAAAAAGTAGCTGCTTTATGGCGATCAACATAGCAATTCCTTGTCGCTGTTATCAGTTCACGTTGGAAAACGTTGTAGCAGGGATCACCGCGTGCAGGTTAACAGCATGATCCCCAAAAGATAAATATATATACACATAGATATATGCACACCTATGTGCGAGCCCATGCAAGGGAGGCTTATCGTAAGGAATTGGCTTTTGAGGGTCCCTATCATGTAAGTAAACAAGTACGTACAAGTTATACCTACATATATGGTTTATAGGCAAATTACTTCTATGATATTTCATTGACTTTTATTGACTAAAAAAGCTACATTGGGATATTTTTCATTTTGAGGGTAAGCTGTAGATCATAGGTTTGTCATACTGTCTCTGTCTTCATGTTATAGTTGTACATATTTATTTATCCAACTACTTTAATTACATACTGTATACATTTTCATAACGGATTACAAGACATTGTCTAGAGCTTCTCATATCAAATGGGAGATCACAAACAGATTAATTAGTTTAAGCTTCTATGAAAGGGATCACAAATAAAACACAACAGATCAATTAAACCAAAAAAAAAAAAAGACTTTCATACTCAGCAATGCATGTACAGTATGTGTCTGTGGAAATAACCATCACAAAAAAATAAACCTTGGTTAAAAGAAAACTACAAAAGGTTGGTCTGACCTTGGGCAGACTAAGAATTAAGAATGCACTTCACACTTCTAATGCAATCTCAATTTATGATGCCATAGTCAGTTGCACTGCTTTATTCAGCCGAAGGCCTTTCAGTCCAGCCTTCCTTGGTGAGGGTGGGGAGCACAACCATCACAGATGATCTACTACTTTATTTCTTCAGTAATGCTCCTCATGAAAGAAACACCCTGCTGGACATCACCCCTCATCTTCCTCATATCTTCCTGACAACTATTCAATCTAACAAAAAAAAATTCAGACAGTTAACATAGGAGATATAGACACACTGTTCAAATGAGCTTTGCTCAACTTAGCTACCCACGCTTACTTTCATTACGTAATTTAACATTTGTAGTATTCAATCCCAATTTTCTACACTACCGTAAATGATCAAATAAGTGCCGCTCTTTGAAGGCACTTTCGAGAGTGCACTTTAAAATGGTGTTTCCTACCTTGCATATGCCCATGGTACTATAACCTGGACAGTCTACACTAAAAATAAAATCCTGTCTTTTTAAAGTGATACCACATGCGTACATAGGCCTATCTCATGCTATGTTAGTATATTCATGAAGGAAATTTCCCCCAAGTTAGTTTCGGTCCTTGTGACACAACGTTGTATCATAGAGCTAAGCACTTGAAAGAGGCACTTATTCAATCATTTAAGGTTTTTATTTTTCATCAGTAAAGAATACTTACCATACATGGGTAGAAAATCAAATACTATCTGCTCTACAAAAAGTCTGGTTGATTTTTTAATTAACTTCAACAAAAATAAAACTCAATCTGTCAGACACTGATTTACACTGTCTCTACCACTATAGCCT